TGAGGTTTTTTTTTTCTTATTTTAATCCTAACATGTAAAATCTCAAGCTGTCATTTGTAATTGAGGCTGTGAACAAGTTTATTAAATAAATGAAAATAAACACGAGTTTTATTTATACCAGCCAGCCACGTCTCTGCTTACGGAATACCTCAATGCAACGTAGACTTTCATTTCAATGTTCATTTGAGCAGTGACCGTATTTTTTTTAATTTTTATTTTAAAAAAATTTGCTAGGCAATCAGGGCTAGAGCTATAAACTTACTTGACATATTCCTTCTTCACCCACAGGGCCACAGCTGCCTGACGAAGAGGCTGTTCCAAGAAAAGCATCCGCATGACATAATTTTTGGCTAACCCAGGCAGTTCCCTGAGAAGGGAAGAATGTAAGATCAGGGTCACACACACAAGATATGGGTTGTTGTTGTTTTTTTCCCCTAGCCAGGCATGGTGCCAAAGTCTGCGTCAGCTGCCACTTTAATGCTTGCTTCCACTTGAGCTACGGTGACATACAAAAATATCCTTTCTAAAGCTGACTGCTTGTGTGTGTGTATGTGTGTGTGTGTGTGTGTGTGTGTGTGTGTGTGTGTGTGTGTGTGTGTAGAGGTAATGGGAATTAGCTAAGGGAGGGAGTAGTTGAACTTAGGGATTTTGGCAAGCGATGCTCAGTTCTGGCTATGCACTACTGCAATGCACTTTTCTTCTAAGAAAACCATACTTTCCTCAACAAATGGAGCCAAGGGTCATTTCTATTTAGAGCAGGGTGGGTGGGTTCAAACTTGATTTCATTGAGGGCCGCATCAGGGTTGTGTTTCATCTTGGGGGGGGGGGGGGGGGGGGGGGTGGTGGCGGGGGGTCGTGGCCAACATTATCACTCGTCAAGGCTCCGTTTTCAACTGTGACCGCATCCTGCAGCCCTCTACCAGCGAAAATGGAGCATTCAGCCTCCCCAGGTCTCCATTTTCACTGGCAGAGGGCTGCAGGAGGCCACTGTGGCCAAAAACGGAGCCTGGGCAGGCCTTGTGCTGCCTCCCTGAGCTTCATTTTTGCTGGCCGAGGCACCACAGGCCGGTCCTTCACTGTTTTCAGGGTGGCCCTGTGGGCCGGATCCAGACCCCGGGCCTTGAGTTTGATACCCCTGATTTAGAGGTTTCAATGGTGGCAGGTCTGAAAGTCTATTCTGTAGAAAACCCTGGGTCCAGCAGTCTGGAACCAGGAGCAACAAATGATCTATAAAATGTGGTTTCAAATACATGAAGTTAACAGTGGTGGGATTCAATTTTTTTTACTACCGGTTCTGTAGGCCTGGCTTGGTGGGTGTGGCAGGGGAAGGATACTGTAAAATATCCAGTCAGAGGTGGCATTTGCCGGTTCTCTGAACTACTCAAAATTTCCACTACCGGTTCTCCAGAACTAGTCAGAACCTGCTGAATACTACCTCTGGAGGTTAAAATCTACTTACATTTTTACCCCAATCTGACCCTCAGCTGATACAAGACCTATATTCTAAATATTTCAGGACAGGCGAGATTCTCACTGACCGAAGGACAGCAAGGCAAGTGGCAGGATGATTATACAGCCGATCCAAAATCCCGGGGCTCAGGCCCCGCAGGTATTCATGAAGGTTCTTGCATTTCAGCTGAACTCTCTGGAGTTTCATCACTGACTCCGTCATGACCGCTACCCTTCATTACCGGGACATTTTTCTGCAAAGGCTGCGATAGTTCAAAGACAAAACATCGGGTGAATTCAGTAAAAATAGTATGCTCGCTGTGAACGGAATAAAGCACGAAACCACATTTTTAAAAGGAAAGTCTATTAAAACACACACCGAGAAATCGGTGGTATAATGTTTAGGATCACCTGATAATCCTCCTCTTATAACCATTTGTTTAGTGACTGTTCAGAGTTAAAATGGTATGGAAAAAAGTGACTTGTCACTGGTCCTCACAGTGATGACCACTGCAGCATCCCCATGGTCCCATGATCAAAATTTAGGTGCTTTGAAACCAGCATGTACCGTAATTTTCAGACCATAAGACTCACTTTCCCTCCCCCACCCCCCGCCAAAAAAAAAACTGGGTGGAAATGTTTGTGTGTCTTATAGAGTGAATACAGGCCTGCTTTGGGCTTCCCAAACCCTCTGCACGTCCCATTTTTGCCCTCCCCGGCATCCAGCAAGCACTCTGCAGGCCAAAAACAGGCCCAATTTTGGCCTACCAAACTCTCAGCATGTCCCGTTTTCAGTCTCCCTGATGCCGGAGGCCTCCGGAGACCAAAAATTGGCCCATTTTCGGCCTGCAGAGTGCTTCTGGACGCCGGGGAGGGCATAAACAGGACGTGTGGAGCTAAAAAACTATTTTTTTCTTGCTTTCCTCCTCTAAACCTAGGTGCTTCTTATAGTCCGAAAAGTACGGTATTTATTTGCAATATCCTGGGGTCATGCGATCATCATTTGCAAACCATTGTCAGCCAGCTTCTGACAAGCAAAGCCAACGAAGGAAACCAGATTTGCTTAATGCATGATTCACTTAACAACTGCAGTGATTCACTTAACAGCTGGGGCAAAAATGCCATAAAATTGGACGGAACTCACTTAACAATCATCTTTCATAGCAATGGAAATTCTGGTTCCAATTTTGGTCGTAAATTGAGGACTACCTGTACAGCAAATTTGACAGGGTGGTAATATGGGGGAATCCATTTGCAACGTCTTGACAGACTTGACTTTTTCTAGGCAAATTTCCCATAAAGAAAATGCCCCGATAAACAGCAAATGTTTTGTTGCCTGAGCGTTCTCCTTCTGGTCTTGCTTCCGGACGCAATATGGCAGGTGAAACTTTCCACCAATGAGGAAAAAGTTTTAATTTTAAAACAGGCAGTCTAGAAAGCACAAGCTACAATTTGTAGGCAAAAAATCCCTGCCAATATCTGGTTGCTGCTGTTTTTCCTCTCAGGAAGAGAATGAGAACTGAGGATCTGTTTGCAGATTTTCCTATTCTAAATACCGTGACTTTAGATGCCATCAAATCACCCATGACTTACCAGTTCAATAATTTGGAGATTGTTTAATTCAGAATTTTTCAAACTAAGCAATATGTGTGGACATCAGCAGTTTTGGGGAATTCTGGGAATAGAAACCGCCACCACATCTTAAAGTTGCCGAGTTTGAAAAAACATTGATCTAATGCGATTTAAAAATTTAATGCCAGAATAGCCCCATGCTTTGAAAATCTATTAAGTTGGCGTCTCTTCAAGATTTGACAGGTTTATTTTATTATTTCTTGTAACAAAAACAATATTTTGTTTTTTAAAAGAAAATAAAAAAACTAAAAAAACAAATTAAGGGAAAGAAAAGAAACAAAAACTTCTAATATCTGATCAACTTATATTTATCAATAGCTACTGGAATATCAATAAATTTGCTATTATAGCCTGAACAATATATTACTGTCAGATCACAGATTCTCTGCCATAGAAACACATATTGTTGCATTCTTCAATTAGTGAAAAATACTGCCTTTTCCAAAACTGATACACCACAATCCTTTCTTCATCTCTTGAATAATGCCAGTTTTCTAATTTCTTAATACAATTCTTTTTGCATCATGCCCTGCCTATGCATGTAGTCCTCAACTTACAGTGAAGTTACAACGGTACTGAAAAAAGAGACTTGTGACCAGTGGTGGTATTCAAATTCTTTTACTACCGGTTCTGTGGGCGTGGCTTGGTGGGCATGGCAGGGGAAGGATACTGCAAAATCCCCATTCCCTCCCCACCCCACTAACCTGCTTTCCAGCTCCGTTCTCCTGTGCAGGGCAACAAAAGAAAACCCAGCCAATCAGCTGGGACTTGGGAGGCAGAGAATAGATGGGGGTGGGGCCAGTCAGAGGTGGTATTTGCCGGTTCTCCGAACTACTCAAAATTTCTGCTACCGCTTCTCCAGAACCTGTCAGAACTGGCTGAATACCACCTCTGCACATGACCTTTTTTCACACTTACAACCTTTGTAGCATCCCGACGGTCACCTGATCAACATTCAAGATGCTTGGCAACTGATTCATATTTATGACGGTGGCAGTGTCCCGGGGTCAGGTCATCCCCAATCTTCTGACAAGCAAAGTCAATGGAGACACCAGATTCACTGAACAACAGTGTCACTCACTTAACAACTGCAGTGAATCACTTAACAACTGTGGCAAGACAGGTTGTAAAATGGAGCAAAATTCACTTCATAACTGTCACGCTTAGCAATAAAATGTTTGGGCTCAATTGAGGTCATAAGTGGAGGTCTAATTGTACAGCCACAATGGGAGAATGGATAGGTTAATTTCTTCCTAATTAAGTGTTGTAGTTACAGTATGGGAATGTTTAAGATAGATAGATAGATTTATGCATGAATGGATGACAGGTAAGATATATGATTAGATAAAGACTAGACAAAGAACCAGACGTTAGACAATAGGCAAAAAAGGAGACTTCCAGCGGGATGGTGGTGGAATTCTGTATATGAATTGTTGCTAATTGTGCCTACTTGGTGCATTTTGGGATCATATATTTTTATATATATAGTTTTCTCTTTTTCAATCGGATTGCTGCGTTTTAGGACTGGAGCGGTTTATCAAACATAAATACATTCGGCTTATGATCTTCCTACACTTTCCCAAGCTGGCACAACAAAACGCGGCGCTCCCTTCGCCAGGGTCTCCTCCTCCAAAGACCCCAGGATCATGCCCAGGGCTGGGTGAAGCTCCTCCGGGGCTTTATTCTTAGACAGGGCGGCGCTGCCAGCCCGCCAACCCGCCCCTCCCCGGACCGCAAGGCTCCTCCGGTTTGTCCAACCCGGCTGCTGCCGGGCAGCTTGCATGTTTCGACCCAAAGGACTCACCTTCACCAGGATCGCATCGGGGGCAACAAGGGTCAAGGATCCGCAGCAGTGCCCTCACACCAGCCGACCCTCCCGGCGAGCAGGAAGCGATCGGCGCAGTCCACCTCTCGGCGTCGGCTCCTTTTCCTGTGTGAGTTGCATGTCGGGAGCGCGGAAAAGAGGCCCGGGTTGCAAGAAGTAAGTCTGGTTTTGAATGGGTCCCGGATCGTGGTTTTGGGGAGGTCTAAATTAGGGGGAGGAGGTTGGGGTGGGGGAAGGAAGGCGTGTAGTGCATTCACAGTTGCAGAGAGGAACGGGACGCGCAAAACTAGTGCAAAACTGGATTCTGGGAATCATAAGAATGTAGCGTTGGGGGATGCGTGAACCTCTTAATAACTGGGCTGCCAAGATGTTGTTGTGCTCGGACGCTACCACCATTGGCTATGTTAGCTAAGGCGCATGGGATTTGGAGTACCGCCCAATTTTCTATTCCTAATCCAATCCCTAATCCGTTCCTTGGGAATTTAATTCCTTTGGCGTACCATTTTTACTCTTGTTCTGCTCCCTGCGTTGCTTATTCAAAAGGGAATAGCAGTGCCTGGGTATGCGCGCGTATTGATAAATATATATATATGCACATAAAATGAATGCCTTGGGATAGTGTGGTCCGAGAACCCCTGGGGGGGGGGGAGTGTCCCCTGACACTCTCAGCGATCTGGAAAATCAAAATGATTTGGCAGCCTAGGTTGAAAAATAATACGATATTAAAGCCTCATCAAATAATCCGGAGAAGTGGTAGTGGCAGCAAATGTGTCAATTTTAAATTTCAATCCGGTCCATATCAATTAACAAATTGATATTGATACAAATAAAAGTCCTCCATAATTTTTAAAAGTGGAAAGGGATCCTGACAGAATAAAATTTAAGAAACACTGTTGTAGGGTGAGAAAGTAATGCATGATAATTCCATATAATTATAGTTACAGCCCTCAGATCATGCAGCTACTGTATTTACTGTGGCTACCTGATATAGAACAATAGATTTTGAAGGGAAGAAAAATGGATATCTCTCTCTCCCTCTCTTTTTCTTCTCTTCCTTTTTCCCTCTCTCACACAACTATTGCAAAGGTGCTTTTCCAAGAGGAAACTGGACTTTCTGGTTTTTCTTCGAAGACATTTCACTTCTCATCCAAGAAGCTTCTTCAGCTCTGACTGGATGGAGGGGAATGGAAGGATTTATACTCCTTGCAGACATTTGCATTCAGACATCATTTGCATTCTTTTTAGAGAGTTGTTGAGGCCACCCAGATGACCAGTGGAACATTTAGTAGAAAGAGATGATACACAGGGTGTGAGTATTTTTCCATTGATGTGGAGAGCCATGGAGATGGTCTTGAGGGAGCTATTCAAAAGTGATTGCAAAATCAAAAAAGGCAGAAGTTTGCCTTAAGCCCTGGGAAAGGAAAAAATATATATTAGGCTGGTTCCACCCCTAACTCTCTAGGAGTATAAGAGGACAGGAAGAGAAAATATCAGTAGACTTGCAAGATTCTGTTCCTAAGTCTTAACTCAATAAAGCTTAGTTTTTAAAAAAATCTTGTAGGGCAGAGGTCTACAAACTTGGCAACTTTAAGACTTGTGGACTTCAACTCCCAGAATTCTCCAGCCAGCATAGCTTAAAATTGCCAAGTTTGGGGACCCTGTTGTAGGGTCTGTTTCCTGATCTGAACCAGTGGCCCCCAACCTTTTGGGTATCTTATATGATTTTTTTGGTATTTATTTCTGTAGGCTCCATCAGCAATGTAAGGGATGGAAAAGTGACTATTGGAAGCATGTGCATTTGGAACCAAAGGGAGAAAAGCGGTGTGATTTTTTTCTACATGTGTGCAAGAGGACTGAGCACACCTACATTCAAACATGCCTTCAGCCCATCTTAATTCTGCTTCCCATCGGAATATGTCCGTTCTTTGCCGCCTGCTCCTCTGGGCAGAGAAGAGGCGCTGGGATGGATTTGGTGGATGGAGGAGGAGTTATTCCCAAGGAAGTAAGCCCGATCTTAATAAGCAAGTGGGGGAAATGGACCATCTAAAAAATAAAGAACAAAGACAAAAGCGGTTGTGGAAGAAGATGGAGGCTATTGAAGCTAAGATGGCTGCTGGGCTCAAGGTAAGACTGCTTCACGGGAACTGATGTTTGGTTATTAATTTGGTCAAAACTAATGGCTTGATTTTAAAAAAAAATCAACATCTCCCTGTCAAGGCTAGGGAGAATTCTGCTTTATTGTTTGTAGAACTTGCCACGATTTTATCACGCTGATGGTATAGTTGTGGCATTCTGGTTACTGGCTGCTACAAATATTGTTTGTCAGCTGTTATTCAGATCCATCTATACTAGACCTACACAGAATCCTTGGTAAATACAAAGATGTAGAGAGAGAACAATAAGCAGCAATACATTTCCCCCAGTAACTTTACAATGTGGGGAATGGCAGGATTCCATCGTCCAGTCTGAGCTGAAGAAGCTTCTTGGATGAAAAGTGAAATGTCTTCAAAGAAAAACCAGAAAATTCAGTTGCCTCTTGAAAAAGCACCTTTGGGACAACCCTGACCAGGATGACTGAGAATCTCCATAGACATTTACCTTATCTTTGCTGTCTCTTGGTCCTCTGGGATGTAGCCCCTCCCTCCTGGGGACCCTACCACCTTCTACTGCTGATCTCCAATAGCTCCTATGATCCAGCTTGTTCTATGGTCCATGATTGATGCCACCGTGATCCGAATACATGATGGCCGTGGTGGCAAATCTATGGCACGTGTGCCACAGGTGGCACGCAGAGCCCTCTCTGTGGGCATGCACGACGTCGCCCCAGCTTAGCTAACAGATAACAGATAATCAGAGTTGGAAGGTACCTTATAGGTCATCTAGCCCAACCCCCCGCCCAAGCGGGAGACCCTACACCTTTTCTGACAAATGGCAGTCCAATCTCTTATTGAAAGTCTCAAGTGATGGCACTCCCACAACTTCCGAGGGCAGCTTCTGTTCCATTAGTTGATTGTTCTCAGCTCTACCATGCGCATGTGCCTTCCGCTAGCCAGATGGTCTTTGGGTCTCTGCCGCGCATGGGGGTGGGTGGGCACAAGCAGGGGTGGGGGCATGCATTGGGGGGCGGGGGGCATGCGAGGGGATGCACATGCACGGGGGCATTTTGGGTATGCGCACGCAAATTGGTCCCTCAGTGCCAAAAAAGTTTGCCCTCACGGCATTATGGGGTGATAAATTTGTGTTGGATTGATGGTTACATTATTTTCAGGATTTTACAATTATGACAAAGACTTAAAAGTGATATTTTATTTTATTATTATTTTATTGGTACTTTAGTGTTTCATTATTTACCATGGGTGATTAAAGACATCACGGTTAACTGCCATGTGTCCTACAGGATTTGGCATTATACAAGCCAAATAAATATAAATACAGATAGTCCTTGACTTACAACGGTTCATTTAGTGACCATTTGAAGTTATAGCAGAACGGAAAAAGTGACTTATGACCATTTTTCATACTTACGACTGTTGCAGCATTCTTGTGGTCATGTGATCAAAATTCAGACCCTTGGCAAGTGACTCATATTTGTGACATTGTGTCAGTGTGTGTGTGTGTGTGTGTGTGTGTGTGTGTGTGTTTGATGTGATCACTTTTTACAACCTTCTGACAAGCAATGTCAGCGGGGAAGCCAGATTCTACTTTACAACCATGTTACTAACTTAACTGCAGTGATTCACTTAACCAGTGTGGCAAGAAAAGTCGTAAAATGGCGCAAGACTCACTTAACAACTGTCTCAGCCACAGAAATTTTGGGCTCAGTTATGGTTCTAAGTCGAAGACTACCTGTAAATAAATAAGAAAAGACTGCTTCCTCTTTTAAAAACTTTTTTTACACCCCCCCCCTTCCTTTTCACCCTCCTCTTTGAAGGAACCTTCAAATCAAGACAAGACCCTTTCCTCAAAAAACATAGTGGAATATGACATACCAACTATAGCCGGACAGAAAAAAGGTAGGATGGGAAGAGCTTGGTTCAAATGGGCTTCCAGGATTTTCCTTTCTTAAAAATAATAATAATAATAAGTTGTTCAAAAAAAATTTTCTTTGTGGAAAAGGTAAATGGTGGCTAATGTGAAATTCTGGCTTTCTCATGGGCTAGTAAAAGAAAAGGAATAAACAAGAAAGAAATGGAGCTGTGATATAGCCAGGATTGGATCTAATGGTGAGATCCGTTCCACTGTTACTGTTTCCATACATTTGTATTAAATTCCTCTTCGTATGATTGGCTGTCAGAAAGATTATTAGGCAAAGTTGATCAGAAAAATATCAGTTTTCCTGCTCCTATTTTATCCAGTCTAATTTGGAAAAGCAGTTGATTTGATACCCCCATTCTAAACTCATAGTAGTATACAAAAAAAAAAAAAAAAGGAAGGAAGAAAAGAAAAGAGAGAGACTAATGTGTCCTTTTTAATGTGCCTTTGTCCCATAGAAAAAATATGCTGGGTGTACCAAGCAAGAGACTCGTAGGCCAATCATGAGATATTTTATCAAATGTTTTTTTCAGAGAAAAGTTTATTTCAAAGATTGTGCATCAAATAAGTAAAGGAACATTTAGAAGAAAATGGCGACCACCCTTAAAACCTGGCGCTCTTCCCACACCTGGAATTAATTTTTTCATTGGTATATCTGTGGGGTCCTGGTCATATCTACATGGTTTATCATTTTGGTTGTTATAGTTCAGGCTGCTTATTTCTCTGTGTTTAATTGTATTTCTAGACTTTGTATTTTATCTAGAGTCTAATAGAGTGGGCAACCGCAACACATTTAATAAATAGATTAACTTAAATTTGAACATTTAATGAAGCTCGTGGCATTAAATTGTCTATGGGGCCTGATTTTTTTAATACACCTATATTTTTAGCATATTTATATGCTCCTCTAGCATATTTTTTGCATGGAGTTATATTGTTAGGGATCTAAGGTTCTGTATACATGTTCTCCAGATCTTTTTATCTTGATCATCATTAATAAGAAATGTCTTTTTTATAACATCTGGAAATTGGGAATTTTAGAATGTTTGTTTCTATATTCTGCGCTCAGTTTTTCTGCACTCATGTAATAAAATTTGGACATGCAGATTGCACAAATGCTTGTTTTTATTATGTTTTTATCTTAATAGTGACTTTTTCCCACAGATACCTCAGCACCTTTGCCCACTTCCTATAGTCCACGTTATGTTGAAGCTGCTTGGTATCCTTGGTGGGTGAAAGAAGGTTTTTTTAAACCAGAATGCCAGGTAAAAATGTTTCTATAAAATTATTAATATTAGACTTTGATATGTCAAGGTCAGTCGAGGACTACCTGTACAAATTTGACTTAAATGAGTTAAGAACGGAGTTTGTTCTTAACCCAGGAATTGTTTGTGTTTCTCTGTGAATAGTATTCTCTGTGGAAAATGCTATGTCAAACTGTTTTCATACTCAGTTTGTAAACAAACAGAGAAGAAGAGTCCTTCCCTCACATTTTTAAGAGTTTCAGATTTTGTAGTACCTCTATAGCAGTGGCGGCCTTTCGGCACCGAGTGCTGAAATGGGAGTGCGCATGCGCAGGAAACCGGCAGAGCAGCTCCTTGACACGCGCGTGGGAGTTCTGGAAACCGGAAGTTTAGCTTCCCGGCGCAGGCATGCATGTCAGCCACTTAGTCTTCCCATTTCTAACGCGCATGCATACATGGAGACCAGCTGGACAATGCATGCATGCGCTCTGGGAAGCTGCTCTTCTGGTTTCAGGCCCTCCCGCGTACACAAAGACCAGGCTGGCCGGCGCGCATGCACACGCTGGAACCTGGAAAAGCAACGGGCGACGTCTGGCGTGCCTGGAGAGATGACTCTATGTGCCACTTCTGGCACGTGTGGCATAGGTTCGCCATTACGGCTCTGTAGGATGGTATGGTGGTGAACTCAGACTGATACTAAATCCGGTTCCTCTTTGTGACAGCAACACCTGCCCCACAGGAAGCCAGAAATGTTTTCTATCTCTCTCCCGCCACCTAATGTCACAGGATCCCTTCACCTGGGGCATGCCTTGACTGTGGCTATTGAAGATGCTTTGGTACGATGGTAAGTGTGTTTCTGGAGACTTGGGAAATGGTTATGCAGATCCTGTAGCACAGGGGTGTAGCACAGGTGTTGATTTCATTGAGGGCTGTATCAGGGTGGTGTTTGACCTCAGGGGTGTGGGGGGAATGGTCAGCTCCATGTCACCCATGTTTGGGGCACCTGTGGTGGCCAGGTGCTAAGGCAGGACTTCCCTCAGACTCTCCCTCCCTCTCATTATAACCTTCCTTCCTTCCTTCCTTCCTTCCTTCCTTCCTTCCTTCCTTCCTTCCTTCCTTCCTTCCTTCCTTCCTTCCCTCCCTCCTTCCTTCCTTCCTTCTTTTCTTCTTTTTCTTTTTTTTCCTTCCTTACTCTCTTCCCATCTTCCTTTCTTTTTCTTCCTCTTTCCCTTTCTCCTGTCCTCTCCGTTCTTGGATGCTTAGATGCAAAAGGGGGAAAATTTCTCCTTTTGTTTGTTTTTAGTTTGTTTTGCTAGGCCTCTGCCAGTGAAAACGGGGCCCGGGGGGGGGGGGGGCTGTACGCACTCCCCCTGAGTTCCATTTTTGCTGGCAGAGGGCTGCAGGAGGCCATCGCGGCCAAAAACAGAGCCCTCCCAGGCTCCGTTTTCGGCCATGATGGCTCCCAGCAGTCCTCCAACCACCCTGCAGGCCAGATGCAACCCACATGCCTTGAGTTTGATACCCCTGCTCTAGCATTAAGCATTAATAGTGATGGATCCCCACAGCCTTTAAGTTCATTACTGATGCATTTGGTCATGTCATATCCCTGAGAAATAGAGATATCTATAGAAAGACTGACAAAGACAAAAAATGGCACCACTGAGAAATTAAGGGTCATGTGGTTGAATTGCTTCTATTGGCAATGATTTGTCTTCAATTTCAATTTCAATCCATTCCTTAACTTAGTGTTAGGGACAACCCATTCCTTAATTTAGTGTTTTTCAACTTTGCCAAGTTTAAGATAGGTGAACTCCAACTCCCAGAATTCCCCAGCCAGCATGGGAATTCTGGAAAATGAAGTTCACCCGTCTTAAACCTAAGTTTCAGAAATACTGCCCTAGCTGATGGCAGTACTTTTCCCTTCCCGTTCCTCTGCATTTTGGGAATTTCTGTTTGAATCTGAAAACCATCTAAGGACTTGGAACTTTGAAAGAAGAAAGTTGAATTCGAGATTTTTCTTCTTCTTCTTGATGTGATCCAGGAGACGAATGCAAGGCTATCGAGTTCTGTGGCTTCCAGGTTCTGATCATGCTGGAATTGCAACTCAGGTGAGAAATTGGGAGTTCAAAACTGACACTTTTAATCCTGAATAACCATGGATCAGTCTTCTGCTTCCTGTAAGGATTCTAATCCTTTTAGAACTAACTGGAAGGATCCTTGGGATGGAAAAACAGTATGGATGTGAATTAATTTGCATATTTTAACCTGGCATTTTGCCCCAAGAGAAAGACTCCTCATTCTGCCAAAGCGGCTCTGAATCAAATCAGAAAACATAAAAAGAAATCTCAGCACATTTAAACATACAGGTAATCCTAGATTTACAACCATTTGTTTAGTGACTGAAGTTATAACACCACTGCAAAAAGTACCATATGACTGTATTTTTCACACTTATGACAGTTGTGGCATCCCTACAGCCACATGATCAAAATTCGGATGCTTGGCAATTGGCATGTTTTTATGATGGTTACAGGATCCCGGGATTATGTGATCACTTTTTTGCGAGGTTTTGACAAGTAAAGTCAAGCCACTTAATAAATATGTTACTACTACCTTAACAAATGCAGTGATTCACTTAATAACTAGCAAGAAATGTCACAAAATGGAGCAACATTCACTTGCCTTGCTTAGCTATGGGAATTTTTGGGCTCAACTGTAGTTGTAAGTTGAGGACTACCCGTATACCATTTGGATAGATTCTTTGTCTCACTTGTCAGTCTCATGAGTTTTTATGTTCTTTCTTCATCTGACAAGGCTGTGGTAGAAAAAAAGATCTGGAAAGAACGGGGAGTTTTGCGGCAAGATCTCTCACGCGATGAATTTCTCCAAGAAGTTTGGAAGTGGATTGAGGAGTGAGTATTAGAGGTGAAGAGACTGCAATGTTTGGATGGAAAAGTGGGGATGACACATTTTCTGAACTAACAACAGGCTGAGTCTCTTGAAGGTTTAAGAGAGCCCGTTTGGTGTTGTGGTGAAGGTGCTGGCCTAAGAACCAGGAGATTGTGAGTTCTTGTCCCGCCTTAGTCATGAAAGCCAACTCTGTGACTTTGGGCCAGTCGTGTTCTCTCAGCCCAACCGACCTCAGGGTTGTTGTTGTTGTGAGGAAAATAGGAAAAAGGAGTATTGTATATGTTTGCCGCCTGGATAAATAAATAGATCTATTTGCTACTTATTTCAGGAAAAAGTAATGTTTTTTTTAAAAAAATTAACACAAAATTTTAACTCTGGCATTTTTATTTTTTATATACTGCATTATATTATTAAGTTTTATATTTTGAAGTTTTATTCTACCTGCTCAGAGTCCCTCTTTGAGGGGAGGTGGGCAGTTTAGAAATGTGAAATATAAATAAATAATGCTGTGGAAACTCCTTTATGTGCTGTTGGGGGCTGCCTTGGCTACAAAAGGTCAGCGGGGAGTCTATATCTGGCAAGTGGGTAATTCTGTTTTAAGGATAGATTAGATAGGAATGATTTAATGTTCAAGTTAAATAGATGAATAAATTAGTGTTTTTCACCTTGAGTAATTTTAAGGTGTGTGGACTTCATACTGACTGGGGAATTCTGGGAGGTGAAGTCCAGAGCTCTTAAAGTTGCTACGGTTGAAAAATACCAAAATGCTTTGTATTTTTCTTCATATTTCTGACCAAAAAAGATTTATTTTGTCTTTCTGCAATATCAGGAAAGGGAATGAAATATTCAAGCAGCTGAAAGAGATGGGAGCATCTTTGGACTGGGACAGAGCGTGCTTCACTATGGACTCAGTGAGTAGTTGAGATCTTCACAGGCAATTTTTTTTTCCTGTGGGTCAGGATTTCTATATTGTTTCCTCACTTTCGGAGAGCAAACACAGCAAACCCTCGATTTAATAGAGTCCAACTGAGCAGATTTAGTATGCAGCAGGCAAAATTCTATCTGTCCATGGTAAGCTTTGCAGTATATGTAAAATACACCTGCATACAAGTAGCTCGACTTACAACCGTAATGGAGTCTGCCATGAGTTATGATGGTCATAAAGTGAGTCACCTACACGACTGATCCATTGCAGCAGTCGTTAAGCATACATGTTGGTCGTAAAGTGAGTAGCTCCCTCATGAAGTGAATGCTGCAGTTGTTAAGAGAACATGTTCACTATGCATAAATATTTCAAATATGCAGAATATGCAGGAAAATGTTCATGAAACTGAAGCCACAGAGGCTCTGTTAACATCAGTTCTTCTGAAGGGAAGAAGTTAACTTTCCATTTGTAGCTTGGAATGAGACTTTTCCATTTCAGAATTAGTCCTAAGTGCTTTTAATAGAGTCTTTCTGGCTACAACATTGATTAGGAATCAGTAAGAGGGAATTCAGTTTTTGATTTATGAGGCAAATTAGCCCTTATGATAATGTTTTTCAACCTTAGCAGCTTTAAGATATGGACTTCAACTCCAGAAGTGGCATATTTAGCAAAAGAAACTCCTGGGACATTTTTTTTACCAAGAGTATATAACTTTACTAATAGATCCATACAGGCACAGAAGAAGCAAAGTCTGAAGTTTTCACACAAAAAAATACTAGAGTTACCGTAAAATGTCTGTGGAGATTCTCAATCATCCAGGTCATGGTTGTCCCAAAGGTGCATTTTTCAAGAGCCAACTGGACCTTCTTGTTTTCTTGGAAGACATTTTGTTTCTCATCCAAGAAGCTTCTTCAGCAATCTCATTCCCCACCATCCAGTCAGAGCTGAAGAAGCTTCTTGGATGAGAAGTGAAACGTCTTCAAAGAAAAACAAGAAAGTCCAGTTGCCTCTTGAAAAAAAGCACCTTCAGGACAATATAGTTAATTTCTCCTTTTCCCCACTTGAGCTACCCATTGTCCACCATTTTATTTTGGGGAAACAGTCTGCGCCTTTGGAAGGTTCCCATCAGAATGGCCTTGAAGTACCAGGATCTTCTCAGGCTGCAAACGGCTCACATAAATTCCTCATTTTCCTCCCAGCTCCCAATACATTCCAACCCTTCCCCTCCCTTCTTCGTTTTTGTTGTCACCTCTTGTGACTACAGGTGCGTTACGAGTCAGCCTTGACATGAATTCAAGTTGAACTCTACCTGTCTTAAAGTTGCTGAGTTTGAAAAAGATGGGTTTAATTGTAAATTCTCCTCCTCTTGTCCAGTGTTTTTCTCAAGCTGTGACAGAGGCCTTTGTGCAACTTCACGAACAAGGCCTGATATATCGAGACAAGCGCCTGGTAAACTGGTCTTGTGCCCTGCAGTCAGCCATTTCTGACATTGAGGTATGTGGTTGGAGTAGAACCCCAAATAAGCACTTTTGGTCATATTTAGAGACTAGAAACTGATAGATTGTGTCCCTGGCAGGTGGAGAATAGACAGATAGAACGACGGACAAAGCTCTCTGTGCCGGGACTTGAGGACAAAGTGCTGTTTGGAGTATTGGAGACACTTGCTTACAAAGTAGAAGGAGAGGAAAGTGAGTTGGCCTCCCTGAGGCATGATGATAACCTTAAGCATTGCTGAAGGCCACAGGCAAATGCTCAAAATAATGTTTGTGTATTCAGTTTTTTTTATAGTCAGCCATTTCAAAGAAGTAACAAACAATCAGAAAGCAAAAGACTCTTTTAATTTACTTATTTTTCATTCCAATGAACACTTCTCTTTCTTTGATGAAAACAGGCATGGAACTTCTTGTGTCTACCACCCGCCCTGAGACAATGTTTGGTGACGTGGCCGTCGCCATTCACCCAGATGACTCGCGCTATTTGGTAAGGCTGCCCAGTAAAAGGAAGCTTTGGTCCATCAAAAAACCCTGCATGGTGTCATTTAGTGATTTGCCGTGAAATTTTGCCCTGTGATTTTGGAACATATAAAAACATACCAAAAGAGGTTGGG